AGGACTATTAAGTGTTCTGGAATTCCCATTCTTCCCAAAGTTAGCCATAATTTGTTATGATCCACACAGTCAATGGAGTCACTGGTAGAGTCACACCACCAGACACGATCAACTTTGGGTTAGCAACTGCACTCCCTGTAGACTAAATCAAAGCTTTTAATCACTATACTACCAAATTAAAACAACAAAAAAATCCATTGCCTTGGAACAGTACATCAACAGAGGACTGCCTGAGGTGCAGGCTGGGTTTAGAAAAAGCCATGGTACTAGGGATATTATAGCTAATGTTAAATGGATCTATCTTGACTGAAAGCAGAAAAAACCAGAAGAATGTTTATCTGTGTTTCATTGACTATGCAAAGGCTTTTGACTGTGTGGATCACAACAAACTGTGGCTACCTTAGAGAAGAATGTGAATCCCAGAACATTTGATTGTGCTTATGTGAAACCTACACTTAGACCAAGAGGCAGTCATTAGAACATAGCAAGGAAATACTAAATGCTTCAAAACTGGGAAGGGTGTACACCAGGGATATGTCCTACCTCCATATCTTTTCAATCTATATGCAGAACAGATCATCCAGGAGGCTGGGCTGGATGAGGAGGAATGTGGCATCAGAATTGGAGAAAGATTCATCAACAATCTGTGTTATGCAGATGACACAACCCTGCTTGTTTGAGAACCTGAAGTGCTTGCTTCAGAAGGTCAAGGACTACAGCCTTCAGTATGGATTGAAGCTCAACGTCAAGAAAACAAAGATTCTTACCACTGAGCCAATTGAAAACATCACGATAGATGGTGAAGAGATTGAGATTGTTAACAACTTAAGTTTGTTTGGCTTCACAATCAGCACTCTTGGTATCAGCAGCCAGGAAATTAAAAGAATTGTATTAGAGAATCTGCTGTCAGAGACCTCTCCAGAACACTGAAGAGCAACAATGTCAGTCTGGAGACTAAGGTGTGATCGCTCCAGGCAATAGTCTTTGCAATTACTTGCTATGCATCAGAAAGCTGGACACTGACTAGTGATAGTAGAAGGAGAATTGCTGTCTTTGAGATGTGAAGCTGGAGAAGAGTATTGAATATTCTATGGACTGCTAAGAGAATAAAGAGTTTCATTGTAGAGAGGGTAAAACTAGGCTACTCCTTGGAGGCAATGATACTGAAGTTTTGTCTGACATACTTTTGACATGTTGCAAGGAGGGACCAGTCCTTGGAGAGAGATATCATGCTTGGGAGGGCGGAGAGACAGCACAAGAGAGGAAGATTCTCCATAAGATTCTCAGTCACTGGGGTAATGGGGGTGGGTGTGTCAGAGACAATAAGATTGACTCAGGATAGAGCAGGGTTTAGAGCTGCTGTACACAGGGTACATGAGTTGCAAGCAACTCGATAACAGACAACAAAAACTACAGCAACAACATTGCCTTTCAGTCAATTTTGACTCATGGTGATCCCATATGTGACAAAGTAGAACTGTCTATAGGGTTTTCTTGACTTCAATCTTTACCGAGAAATCTAGCTAGGACTTTCTTTCACAGAATAGCTAGGTGAATTGGAATTGCTGACAGTAATACTTGTCAATGCAATGATTCAACTCACTGCTCCTGAGTTGGAACTGATTTCTAACTGACTCTCCTTGGATTTCTGATACTGTAAGTGTCACAGGAAGAGACTGCACGTATTTCTCCCACAGAGCTGTTGTCCGTTCAAATTGTTAGAGAGGTGTAACTTTCTGTTAGCAGTGCAAACTCATATGGACTAGGCCAAGTGCAAACCATTTATGGCACCTAAGGACCTTAATCACTATACAGATGTCAATTGATATAATCTTTGAAGAATAAAATAGATTATGTTTTCTAGATGTTGTTTCTACTTGAATTCTGTGCTGTTAAATCTTCCTTCTTTGATTGGAAGGGTAAAACTCTTAGAAGTCTTTAGATTTGTAATTCTATCTCACTGTTTCTTTTTTAATTCTAAGAATCCATTTGCTCATTTTGAAATATGTTTAATATATATGTACTATGTACTAGGTTCTGTGGAATCAAATTGAGATTATACAAAGAACAAAATAATATTTCCATTTTATTCTGAATTAACATATATAATCATAGTGTCAATATATAAACTTTTTCCTCCTTGATTTAACTCTTTTACTTACTTAGATCCACCTTCGCAGTTTCCAGCTAACCACCCCAGGTGACAGTGAAGTGTAACATAACAGAATAGCGCAGAAATCCCTCAGAGGCACATTAGTCCCAGATGGCTAAATGACTGCATCATCAGTTTTTCTTATAAAAACTCTCCACTCATAGAGGTAAGGGGTTACCTAGACATACCCTATTCTAAAGAAAGATAAAACTCTCCTCTTCACCTAAAGGTCTGGTCTATCAGTTGCTGTAATTATGTGGTTGTGTCTATTAAAAAATGTGCCTGATAGTCTTAGCTATATCATAAATCATTTAGCCTAGATAAACATAAAGAAGAATTTCTTGGAAGTGAAGTCAGAGACACTAATTCATCAAGTCTTCCTGTATTGCTCCATCAGCATCTCTGTTGTTAAGTCTCTAACTCTCCACATCTTGAAAGGTAAGATCCTCTCCACTTATTTCTGTCCCCTGACCTTCAACACTAAGCTTATGATTATGCTTACTTTTCATTATTTTTTTTACCATGGATTTTATGCTTTTTACTAACATCACAAATCAAAGGCATCAATTCTTCTTACGTTTTCCTTCTTCATTGTTCTTTCATTTGTATAGGAAGCAATTGAAAATACTAAGGCTTGGATCAGGCATACCTTAATCTTTAATATCACTGCTTTGGGTGGTCCTTGACAGCAGATTTTCCCAATGTAACACGTCTTCTGATTTCTTAACTGCTACTATCATAGATGTTGATCATGAGTTCAAGTAAAATGAAATTGTTGACAACTTTAATTTTCCCCCCATCTATCCTAATGAAACCTATTGACCCAGAAGTGAGAATTAGTTTTTCTTGATGTTGAGATGTAATTGAAGGTTATCACTTTTTGTCTTCTACAGTAAATGTTTCCGTTCTTCTTCACTTTCTGCATAACACAGGCTGTTAACTGAGTTTTGAATATACCATGGACTGTCAAAAGAACAAATCTTTCTTGAAGGAAGTGCAACCATGATGCTGCTTAGAGGGAAGGGTGATGGTACCACATTTCACTTACTTTGGGTATATTTCCAGGAGGAACCAGCCCTTAGAGAGAGATATCATGTTGGGAAAGGTAGAAGGTTAACAAAAGAGAAGAAGACCCTCAACATGATGGGTTAGCATAGTGATTATCACAACGGGCTTGAGCAGGACAGATATTATGAGGATAACGCATCAGGTAAAGTTCATAGCTATTTTTTATAGGTTCGCAATGAGTCATTGTCTACTTGAAGGCATCTAACAAAAAAACATTTAACTTATGCCTATTCAGAAACTCTAAATTCCCTATAGATATTTTCTTCTTTTTAGTTATTAATAGCAGAGGAAAAATTGTGCTTATTAAATGCATATATTACTTTACCATTTACATACAATCTCAAAATACAGTCACTTTGCTTATTCTTATGTTTGTGTAGCTTTTCTTTCTAATTACTTTCTACTTAATTTAATTACAGTTTTTAAGTATATTGTTGCTGTTATGTGCTGTCAAGTCAGAACTGACTTCTAGCTGATCCTCCAGCAAGTTTTAAGAGGCTAAAAATTGCACAGGAGAAGACTGTCCATTTTTTCTCCTGACAGCAAAACTTTAAATATACAGCAATCTAATTTTAAGCTCTAAACTCTAGAAATAATATGGCACAGTAAAATGATCACAGATACATATCTTCATTTATATATGGTTATATCTACGTAGGTAGATAAATGAGAGGGAGATATCTTTATAGAAACCTGAACAAATAAGTCCATCACCCTGAACTTTAACTACCTCAACTGAAAACTGAGGTTAGACATCTATCTGCTAATTGCTCCGTAAAAATAAAGCCACTCATCTAGAGACATGTAGTAAAACAACTACCTCCATATTAATTTCTCTTCTTTCTAGTTGAGAATAGTAAATCTATTTTATCTATCTTCCAACTTTTTAACTACCTCAGATTTTAGTCTATGCCTCCTCACCTGAGGCTACTTGTCTCAAAGCCTCAACTTCGCAATAATTCTAAAAAATAATTCTGCTTAATTTCCATGGAAATGTTTAGTATTGTAGCATTCTATGCATACTTTTCCTAAACTCGTAAAAATAACTTGAAACACCATCAAAAACTCTTTTCTAGAAATGAACAAATGATCGAACTCACAAGCTTGAAAAGATTCTGTTGTTGTCATTGTTTTGACAAAATCATTTTAATGTCAAACAATTTTTCTCTGCTTCAGCATACAACTCCAGACCTTTCTTTATATAGGAAATCCCTAATAGTCTATAAAAATAAACCTCATGTTTATATTACTAACCTTTCTTTCTCTAGCTCATGCTTCATGAAGATAAACTCCTTTACCTTCTTTTCCTAAATTCCTCAGGTATGTTTTCAACAAATGTGTAAGTATATTGTTACATATTTTACCATAAAAATAAAGATTTGACTGGCAAGTGAAGAGTACAGATATTATATTAATTTCTAGACTATCTGATTCTTCCTGATACCAAACTCAGACGGAGTCTCTCCTTGGAGGCTAGGATTTTGAAGTTCCACCTCACTTACTTTGGGCACTGGCCAGAAGAGATCAGTCCTTGGAGAAGGACATCATGCTCGGAAGGGTGGACGGACAGCGCGGGTGAGGGAGACCCCAGATTAGATGGCTTGATACAGTAATTGGGGTCATGGGGGTAGGTGAGTCAGAATTAGTGAGACTGGCTTAGGACAGGAAAGGGTTCAAAGCTGCTGTACACTTCATTAAACTAATATTTTATTGAAAAGAGTTTTTCATTCCTAATTTTAGAAAGTCAATATCTTACAAGAGAATTCTCCTGTACCCAGTGATGTCAATCTTCCATAACTCAACCTTCCCCACTTTCCTCCTGACGGGAGTGCCTGGACTTGAATGGGCTCATGTCTGGATCTCCATTCCCTTCTGCTGCCTCTATTTAACTGCTCTCTCTGGGAATACCTTGATCCTATTTGTAGTCTTCACTGAACCTAGCCTTCATGAACCTATGTACTACTTCCTGTCTATGTTATCTACCACTGACATTGGCTTATGCATCTCTACTCTGGTAACAGTGCTTGGAATATTCTGGCTCAATGCCCGGGAGATCAGTTTCAATGCGTGTTTATCTCAGATGTTCTTCATTCACCTCTTCACGGTCATGGAGTCTTCCGTGCTCCTGGCTATGGCCTTTGACCGATTTGTGGCCATCTCTAACCCTTTGAGATATGCTACCATCCTAACTCACGCAAGGATTGCACAGATTGGTGTGGCAGTTGTTACCAGAGGGACTGTGATTCTGGCACCGTTGGTCCTGCTTCTTAAGCGCCTATCATTCTGCCGCAACCACGTGCTCCACCACTCCTATTGCTTCCACCCTGATGTGATGAAACTCTCCTGTTCAGACACAAAGATCAACAGTGCATTTGGGTTAACTGCAATCATCTCTACTGCTGGTGTGGACTCCATCTTTATCTTACTCTCTTATGTCCTGATCATTCGCTCAGTTCTCAGCATTGCATCTCCAGAGGAAAGAAAAAAGGCCTTCAGCACCTGCATCTCTCATATCACTGCTGTGGCCATATTCTACATCCCTTTGATCAGCCTATCTTTTATTCACAGATTTGGGAAACATGCTCCACCCTATGTGCCCACCCTCATTGCTAACATATACTTACTGATTCCTCCTGTGATGAACCCCATTATCTATAGTGTGAAAACAAAGCAGATTCAGAAAGTCATGCTTAAACTTTTATGTTCCAAAGGAACTCATATATAACAATTACTGCTTAGTAATTATTATTATTAATTATATTGCAAAGACCTTTATTTAAGTCACAGTGAAGATATTCCAAATCTTGTACAATTTCAGAGTTGAGTAAAACTATCATTCAATTCAAATATCTAAATAATATGGTTCTTTTTCCTTTTCTACTACTACCAAAACACTAATCCATATTCTCAAAAAATATTTTTTTAGTCTGTTGGAGAAAAAAAATAAAAATTTTAGGTCTTTCTGTAAGCAGACTGGATCTAAAATTCCTCGGTATAGACTGACTTAACTTTATTTCCTTCCAGAGCAAGTATATTTTAAAAAATTAATTTACTGTTTATATTTGCTCAATATTTCTATTTGTTCTTCAATATAATTTTAAAATTAATCATATTTTGTTAAAAAATCAGTAATTTTACTACAGATACCACATAGGAAAGAAAATAAATCAGGCATGCAGATTCTATAAGCACAAGGGCTAAAAACATATGACCAGAAAGCACCCTTAAGAAGAGGTTTATGTAAGGTGTAAATAACTCTCAAAACAATGGGTTCTTCATAAATACCTTCCACTTTGGGGACTGAGTGACATCTCAGAACCCAGTCTCTTCCTCATCCTCTTCACTCAATGTAAGTACAAGGAGACACTAGTCATTTATGAATATTAGGATCTTTAATGTAGGTTCATTTTGCACATAGATTTTTGCCTCATCAGAAAATTGTACAAAAGGAAATTTTAACAGACACACACACACACACACACACACACACACACACACACGAGACACTGTTGACTTGCCTTTGATTTAAGATTTTACAATCAGGGATGTCTTGTTTCTTCAGGGAAGTTTAAAGAATAGATATTCTTTTTCGGGGAAGTTTAGTTATAAAGAATATGTACTCTTCCTAATGTGCTTAATCTTCAATCTGAGAAGAAACATAAAAGCGGATTTCTAAGAAAGGAAACATTACATGAAATATATGATGGATTTGAAATCTGATTGGATTTCTTATAGCTGAAATTTATTACTTGTTATGTTAAAAATGGAGTTGATATACTCTCAAATTTGCATTTGAGTCATTCAGGCAAAATACTAACTTAAAAAGTAATAACAGAATTATTTTAGTAAAGCAAACATAGGATATAGGGTATATTGGGATATATTTTAGAAATATAATCAGCTATATTATTATATATCTATAATTATGAACATAAGGGTATGGACATGTCAACCAAGCATGAGACATTAGTTTTGGGTTATTTTATTTTGTTTTCAAAATTAGAATGATATTGCTCCATTTAGAATAACAAATTTAAATATCCTTTAAAAATTCAGAATTATCAAACCATCTGATAACCAGGAGATGCACTGGAATAATAGTTATCAATAGGAGGAATAGCTAAGAAGATGTCATCAGTGGCTGTGAAAATAAATTAGACCACTTGAAGCATCTATTACTCAAATCCCAGATACCTGAATTCCCCATTGCACAACATGTAGGCACTAATTGAATGTAGGGAGCTCTGGTGGGCATCATAGATAAGTTGAACAATAAAGGCAGGTGATCTCAATCCACAGAAAATGTCAATTCAATTCAACAGAGCAAAAAAATGTTCAATCCACAGAAAGATTTCAATCCTCAGGAAAAAATGGACAGTCTCCTTCCACGTTAATTTACAGTCTCTAAAAACTCGCTAGAGAGTCTACTCTGAGTCAGTTCTGACTCAAGAGCACATAACAGCAATTATTACATCAGCAATTTTAAATGTTAGTATGCAAAGAAGTAGATGTTTTCTACCTCTTATGGAAAGGAATTTTAAATAAAGCTAAAATTCAGAAAGTGAAAAATCAACTTTATCAAATAAATGTTTGGAAGTCTATTACATTTGCATTTATATGACAATTTAAAGCAGAAAGCTCTGGGATTTGTATGTCTCAAAGGAAAAAAAAAATCACATGAATATTTGCTGTTTTAGTAGTTTACTTGCATTTGAAACATTGTAGTTTATATTTTATAGTGCAACTCTGGCAAATTTTCAATTTTTACAGATTAACTATAAACCTTAGTTTTGTCATTGTATAAAATAGTACAAATTATTTCATTTCTCTTATAATTAGCTTCTTTGGCTGAAAACTGTAATATTAAAAGTAGTAAGAGGTTTTTTAACCTAAATGAGATAAATTACATAAATTACCATGTTTAAGACCTGGTACTCTGTGAGGTCCTATAAATGATAGGTCTTAACTGTGAAACTATGTTGCAAAGTGGTTATCAACCTCAATTTATAAATTTGATATTGTATTAACTATATTCCAAATTAACTTGTATGACTCCAAAGCTTCTTATATCACTATTACACTTTCTATTCTCCTTAATCTCTCAATCCATGATTTGCCAATTTCACCTAGAAGTCAAGTCTCAATCTAGACACCATTGGTCATTAAAAAATTTGCGCTTTTCGTAAAGTGTTCTCGAAGTTAATAGAGTTTCCAAAGGCAAGCCATTTTGGATGTGGGTGCCACTCCTGCTTCCAAGCTTATTTTAATCTGGAAACTCCACCCCTCTGGAAACTCTATGAACTTGGAGAAATGATGAAAGTTATACAAGTGTTCAGATCTTTGGTTTATAGGGTCGCTATGAGTCATCTAAGACTCGATGGCACTGAACAACAATAACAACAACAATATCCCTAAAGTGAGTTTATTACCTTCTCTATGTACTCATAGTAAAAAAGAACATTCTTTATACACTACTTTCCAATAAACATTTTGGGGACAAGTACTTTATTGGGCTTAATTTTTACTTTCCCACATCTGGTCCATAGAAGATGTCCAATATATAATTGCTGAATTACTGAGTGAATAACAACAACATATCTGGTTCTTAGCAGATAACCAAAATACATTTGCTGAATGAATTAATGAATTTGTCCCAGAATCAGTATTTGTACTTAAATGAAGTAATTGCTTTATAATGTATGATTGGTAACTCACTACTGAAGATAGAAATGCCTGCTATCAAACCTCTACACACCCAACTCACACTTATTTCTGATATTTGTATAGTCCATTCTGAAAGACTTCTTGCTGAAGTTAATATAACAAAGGAATTTTCTCCAACAGATATGTATTGACTCAAATATAGAACAAAATAAGAATCAAGATACAAGAATGTAAAACTCTTATCTAGAACCACCATAAAGAACTCTTTATTAGTCTTTTGATTTCCCAGTTGCTGGGAAACCAAGAGTGTTGTGTGGAACCAAGCAAACTGAAACTGTTAAATTTGGTTTAGTGTTTTTATAAAAACCATGATATCATGGCAGTAGTCAAATCCATTGAACAAGAAGTAGTAAATAGACTGTTTTGAATTCTTTAAAATTATCTACTCCCAGGATCTATATTTTTAAATGTACTATAAGATTTCATGATAATGTCATAGAATTTTAAGACATTTAAATGAACATAAAATGGTTTTGTTAAGTAATAAATATTCTTTTTAAACTAGTGTTATTTTCATTAAATTCTTCACTAAATCCTACTACTAGAAGATTATTTTGATAAAATATTCTCTTTTAATACAGAGTAAAAGGAAGAAGAAAATAAATTGTTTACGATCAAAGAGCGGATGTTGTTGTAGTTGTTACGTGCTGTCAAGTCATCTGTGACTCAAGCGACCCTATCTACAACAGCCCTAATCTCAGCTCTATCCTGTGCTAATCTAATTGTCTCTGACACATCTACCCCCATTACCCCAATCACTAAATCAATCCATCTCATCAAAGGTCTTCCTCTACTGTACTGTTCCTCTATCCTCCCAAGCGTGACTTCCCTCTCCAAGGACTGACCCCTCCTTGCAGCATGTCCAAAGTATGCCACACAAAGCTTAAGAATCCTTACCTCCAAGGAGCAGGCTGACTTCTCCCTTTCTGGGGTGAAACTGTTCGTTCTTTTAGCAGTCCATGGTATATTGAATGCTCTTCTCCAACACCACAAATCAAAGACATCAATTCTCCTTTTATCATCCCTTGTATTTGTCCAGCTTCTGATGCATAGCAAGTGATTGCAAATACCATGGCCTGAATCAGGTGTTCCTTAGTCTCCAGACTGACATCATTGCTCTTCAGTACTTTGGAGAGGTCTCCAGCAGCAGATTTTCTCAATACATCTTTTCATTTCCTGGCTGCTGGTGACAGGAGTGTTGATTGTGGAGCCAAACAAATTAAAGCTGTTTACAATATCAATCTGTTCACCATTGTTCATAATGCTGCCAGTTTGCCCAGCAGTGAGAATCTTTGTTTTCTTGATATTGAACTTCAACCCATAATGAAGGCTGCAGCCCTTGACATTCTGCAGCAGGCACTTCCGTTCCTCCTCAGTCAGCAAGCAGGGTTGTGTCGTCTGCATAACACAGATTGTGGATGAGTCTTCCTCCAATCCTAATGTCATATTTCTCCTCATAGAGTCCAGCTTCCCAGATAATCTGTTCTGCATATAGATTGAAAAGATATGGAGATAGGACACATCTCTGAATAATAAGAAAAAAATCTATCCTATTCTTTATTATAAATCAGGAAATAATTATCATGGAGAAGATGGTCAATACAACAGAAGAACCCACATAGGGAACAGAAAAGAGAAGATAAATTCTTATGAAATGTCTCCAGGTTCATTTATCTAATCACAGTTACTTTGGAAAGCAAAATTAATTTGCTGAATGGTATTATTGTTTCTCATTCTAGGAAATTTTATTGCAGCAGGAGTATCCCTACATAGTAATCATGAAATCTTTTCCTAACATCACTTCCTCTTCTCTGATTCTTCTTCTGATGGGATTTCTAGGAGTAGAACTTTCATATTCCCGGCTCTCCATCCCCTTCTGCATATCAGCTCTCTCTGGGAATTGCCTTAACTTATTTGTCATCAACACTGAATCAAGTCTATTTGACAACAATAGGAAAAGGATATAAATGGGAGCAAAACTTTGTGGATTAAGGAAATGGT